GAGAGCCGGTGCCTGGCCGACGGTGCCTGGCACCCTCCCCTGCCCTCCTGCCAGCCAGGTGGGTACCAGACCTGGGAGCCGAGCCAGCGGCCGCGGGGACCGGGCAGGGAGGTCGGGGTGCAGAATCGCGTGGCCGTGTCTGTCCTCGGGGCTTCCCCAGCACCTGCCCCTCTTTGCGGAAGAAACAAACTTCCCAAACTTGATGTTTACCAGGCAAAAGCTGATTTTTTTTCTTGACAGTCCTGTACAAAGGAGGGTCTAAGCCAGGTCAGCAGACGGCACCATTGCTGGCTTGCTCTTCAGTGTGTATTCTTACTGACAAATGTCGATCTGCAGACTCTTGCACAGGGATGCCCGGAATCAGACATTGTCAGAGAACGGCATAACTCCTCTCAGGGGCTGTTCTGACCTTCACCCTCCCCTCTTGAAGGGCCTGGGGAAGTAACTTGGCTTTAACGTTTACTTTCACGGCTCCACAGACTTATGTTCACCTGCACTGACTCCATCTTCACAAATTTCTTAGGTTTTTTTCCTACTTGCGTAGTGATGACCCTCTTGCTGAGCTGCCTTCTGCTCTGGTTTTTCCTTTCAGTTCTGTGTCCACAACCACAAGTGGCCAATGGAAGGCTGAAAAGCACTTCAGACAGTAAAACGTGGTACCAAACAAATGCGACCGTTGCTTTTGAATGCCTGAAGGGATACCACTTTTCCAACGACGGAGACCTGTCTTCTGCAGACTCTTGGACAGCCACGTGCTTGCCGGATGGCAGCTGGACACCGCTGCCCAAGTGTGTGAGTACCAGTCTGGCTGAGCTCCTGGGTGGACGCTGCCTGATTTCTAACATGCAAAATATCTGCTTGAAGTTCTTCAGTGCTTTGGGTTGATGGCACCAGTGGGGGATGCAGACGGTGCTGGGGCAGCGCATGGTGAACGGGACAGAAGTTGAGGCTCAGGGCTGAGGAGTGGGTGGCTGTCCATCTGCTGCAGTGCTATCTCACGTGCTTTTTTTTCTGGGTTTTGTTTGTTTTGTTTTACTTTTTAACAGAAGGAAGATGATGCTGATGTATGCGAAGAGATTCATCATATTAAAGAGGTCTTTGAATGCGGTGTGCCTTTAGCAGAAGTGAAAAATCTGCTGGAAATACAAAAACTGGTTTTGGAGATTAAAAAGCTAAAGGGGGAACTAGAAAACTTGAACGAGTGAGTGCTGTAGCGATCACCTTTCCCTTGGTGAACACACAGGTTGTGTAGTCACAGTATCTGTAAGAGGGCTCTCGGTGGCTTTATGGTTCCTGCCTGCATGCATATATCCAGAGAAACAATAACCAATGTATGGCAGACTGCTTTTGCTACGATAGATGCTAGAGCACATAGAGAGGTTTTTGCTCTTTCTCCTTAACCCTGACAAGCTTGGTTCGCTATTTAACAAAGGTGGTGTTTCACATTTTATTTCAGGAAGCATAGTAAGAAATTAAATTGAACTTCCCCGAGTCACTGCATAAACTGTGCTAAGCTGAGAGAAGGGGGACTGAAGTCGGTGGAAGTAAACTTCTAGCTGAGATGAGTGTCTGGTGCCCTGAAGGGGCTTCTGCCCTCACCTTCTGGCCGGTGGCTTGTGCCGTGCCGCACCCTCTGCCCGCCCCGAACTCAGCCTCTCACAGCACTTCTGTCTCAGAACAGTGCTGAAGTGAGTGCTTAACTACGTGGTTTGCTGTTAATCTGGCTCATGGTTTCTGTTCATCTAGTTAGGGGCAGTTACATACAAGAAGTGCACTTGTAAAGGCTTCTGTTTGCTTATCCCTGGATTTAAAACAGGCAAGAGGTCTGTGCTCGACAGGTACCTGTGGCAGCATCATCTTCCACGTCCCTGTTTCCAGCAAGCAAATGCTGAGAATAAAGCTTGTAAGGTTAGGTGCAGAGAATCAGACAGCAGAGATTGTTCTTATTACTTAACGAAGGATGATGGGTTCACGTCGCTCAGTGATGCAGCAATCACTCCTTCCCCTCAGCATTGCAATAAAGATGGAGATGGAGCCACGGGTGTCTGTCATCTGTCACGCCGGCTCTCAATGAGGCCGATTTGCAGCATGGTCCCACGGTTGTTCTGAGCGAGAGCTGAGCCCTGGCAGCCGGGCC